CTGAGCCTCCTGACGCGTTCATGCTGTTTGTACAGTCCGACTGTCGGGGTTGGCCTCCAGAACAGGCTGAGCCCGTGCGGAGCCCCCCGCAAAGGGCTCGCGGGGGTGTCAGGGCTGCCTTGGTGATCGCGGCCCCCGCTCCCTTCCTGAAGCTTCTTATCCTGGCCGTGTATTTATAGGTTGGAGTTTTGCTTCCCACGTGTGTTAGCAAATGCTTTACAAATATTCCCACTTTGGAAAGGCTGCCCCCCACCTTGGCTGCTGCCCAAGCATGGGGGTTTTCAGGCCAAATCCGACAGTCTTTGCCAAAATGGAAGGATGCGTGTTGAAAGCAATCGGACCCTAAATCTGAAATTATTTCAGCTTGACTCTGACCTGTGGCTCCGGGATGAGGCAAGTAACAAAAGTGATAGGGCAAGGATGGGAATATATATATTAAAAAAAAAACAAAAAAAACAACATGTAGGACCAGCCCACCAGGGATGTTTCTGCAACCTCCCTCCATAGACTGAATGAAAATTAAGCTTTAGTCTTATATAAAAGGCAGCATCTGTTCCCTTTGCCTCCGTGGGGAGCTGCTGGGTGGCTGGGAGGTGACCAGCGAGGCCCGTGTCCATGTGCAGGCAGCCAGGGCCGGGACCTGTCCCCGATCCCCTCGCGGCATCGCTCCGTGCTGGGATCACACTGCCAACTAGACCTGTCCCAGCTTAACAAACACAAGGAGAGGATGAGGGGAAAGCCTGTGCACAGGAATAAGGTCTGCTCTGTTCTTTCTGTGCACAGGAATAAGGTCTGCTCTGTTCTTTCTGTGCAAGCTTCTTGGTGCACAAACCCCTTGGGGTGCGGAGGGGTTTTGGAAGCTGGGAGCATCCGTGCCCAGCACAAGGGAACACCGACCCCCAAAGGCGCAGCCACCTGCAAGTCACCGTTAATGCTACACACTGCAAAATCAAATATTTTGTCACTCTTCCCTCTCTGTTAGTGCTAAAACCCTGGTCTCCCCTGCAGGCATCCTGCTCGCAGCCAGATGCCCGCGAGCTGCGGTGAAGCTGCCTCCCTTCGGGCATCGGAGCATCCTGCGAGACGCCGCGAGGGAGAGGAGGCAGCCGGGCTGGGCCGCGTCGCTCCTTCGGCCTCAGCCTCCGCTGTCGGCCCTCGGGGCAC